TTTTTATAGCGCCAACAGTTTTCTCAGCGCTTTACAATATAACGGGAGAAAATATAGTTCAATACAAGAGGGAAAGGAGGGCCCTGCTATTTGGGGCTTACAATCTAGGAGACTTAACCCTTTGTCTGCCAGAGTTCTGCAATCCCTGCTTTGTGCCCAGCCTGTGTTATGGACTTAATCCTTTGTCTGCCAGTTCTGCGATCCCTGCTGTGTGCCCAGCTTGTGTTATGGACTTAACCCTTTGTCTGCCGGTGTCCTGCCATCCTTGTAGTATGTTCAGCCCTGTGTTACTGATTTAGTCCTTTGCCCATCAGAACGCTGCTATCCCTGCTATGTGCCAGCCCCATGTTGCGGACTTAGCCCTTTGCCTACCAGAACTCTGCTATCCCTGCCTTTCAATAAAAGCCTTGCATATACTCCTGCTCTCCGTGTGTGTTCTGTTCCACCCACCCCTCCATCACAAAGCTTACTACTCATGACTGTATAATCTGTTAAATGTTGCTAATTGATTCATCTGATTTTTACCAGTGTTATGCTTTTATGCATTAACTAGACTTGTATATTCTAAACCCTTTACTCCTATAGCCTACTCTTTTGTACAAGCCTAATGTAGAGGTGTTACCAAAGAATTGTGTCTCCTGCATTGTTATTCCATAGGGTTGAAATATTTCTGAACCCAGAGTGTCAGAGGTGTTGGGAAGCTTGTAAAGTGTGGGTAACCAGTGGGGACAAGCGTTATCAAGCACCCCCTGCGGGGGGCAGCACTACACATGCTATATACGCACACAAAAAACATGTTTGTTCAAGCCAGTTATCATATCAAATCTCTATAGTATTATATAGTATAGAGTCAACTTTGTCATCACCAGATGGTAGATACTGTACATGTACAAGTCTAATGAAGATGTAAGTATAAAGCTCTATTTACAAGGTTGATATAAAATTTTACAAAGCTAATAACATGAATACAGATTTTAAACAGAGATAAGTGAAACTGAGACCTATCACTTTCTTGAAAATTCTGCAAAATTAAATTTTCAGCTAAACGTCGACATTTTGGAAAAAAATGCAATAGAGAAAGGTAAAGGAATGTGATTTTATAATGTGTTTGCTGGTGCAATGAGCTTTAAATAGCTTCTGAGTAAAGGTGAGTTGTCCGCCAAACTCATCTCTAGCCGAACTCCGTACTCTTTTTTTTTTTCACTCCAATGAGCTGCAGACCAGGTCACTTAAACAAAGAGGTGGGCCATGGGGTGGGAATGACCCGACCATAGCTCACTGGAGTAAAAAAAAGAGCACTCATTTAAAGTTCAGCTAGGGATGAGTTTAGAGGATGCTGAAGCTCATCTCTACCCCTGAGGGTAACAGTAGCTCCTTCCAAATTTCCCCAGACATGGTCTTGTGCCAAAAAGGCCCTTCATTAGCTTTTTTTTTTTATTTCCACAGAAAGAAAAAAGTAAAAAGATAAATTAAAAATGAAAAAAAATACAAATACTAAGCTGAAATGAACTAAAAAAACCTCCACACCCTCTAAATAAAGAAAAAAATAAAAAGTAGATTTTTGTTTTCAAACACATTGAGCCAAAGTAGTTCAATGAAAAAAAAAAAAAAGAATTTCAACTTTGGCCAAAATTTCACTGATGGTGAAATCAGTACGTTCATGACAAAATCAATTTAGCCAAAATCACTCTGGTTATCCATGATTTTATAAAGTTTGACCTCATATTCTAGATATGCCTATAGCTACTGACTGTTTAAGTTGGAAACTTGATCTATGTGATTGGGCAGATGTAATTCTGTATCTTCTATAGTACACTGCTCAAGCAGCGGAAAGAAAATCCTGGGAAGCGTCAATTCTCTGCATTACAGTGAGGGTTCCCATACAAGGGAATGAATTGTACATATTTCTCCTTAAGAGAACTGACATAATGACGGGCTCAGCCACAGGTGACTCATTAAAGATATATTAAGGTGCCTTGGATGAGAACCTGCAGAGAGCGGTGCCTGAGGTTGTGTTAATCAAACCAAAGGTACATTTTTCCTAAATAAGACGTGATTCCCAGAGAGACAAGTCTGCCAGAGTTCATGAAATCCTTCATTGTCAGTATGTAGGAGGATAACAAAACACAAGTGTTATAGATCTATGACTATTGTGAACTTCCACGCTGAACATTTAAACTTTTTTACTGTATTCATATAATTTTCTGTATTATAGTGGAGATTTCTTAGTCTCATTCACACCATTCGTGATGGAAAAAAATGTGTAGTTTTCACTTCCAGAGACATCGGTTTACATCATTTTTCATACCCTGTTTCAGTAAGTTTTAAACATGTTGCAGATTTATGTGCAGAAAAAATGTGCACATTATTCCAGTGTTGTGTGAACAGGGCACATAGAGAACAATTGTTTTCTTTGTTGCCTTTCAGGACACATGCAGAAAAACTCACGTCTCACGTCACATGGTGTGGTCAAAGCCTTAAAGTGGACCCATTATTGAAAATGGAATGTCACATAAGTCAATAGGCACACATCAGCAGGAAAAAGTAAAATTATAATTTGGGTAGAAAAGTCTATCTTTCTTGCAGGGACTGAGAAATGCTGCCCTGAGTTCCTGCATGGAATAACCTTGGTGTTCAGTTCTAAATGACAGAAGACTGAGGACATTCTGCGCCTTCACTGCCGCTGCTGCCTGCAATTGTTTGTTTACATTTCCCCAGAATGTCTAGGTAGGCTCTTTATTGCAGTCCGTTTCTTGTTAAGGGCTTTCCTGGAGCTCCTTCCGCCTTCTGGAATGCATTGTGATTAGTGGGAGGGTCCCTCCATGTACTATTTATAGATGTCGCCACATCTGATTAGCCACGCCCCTGATGACGTCAATTGGATGACGAAACGTGTCAGGTGGAGCTTCGGCATGTGACGTCATCACGTCTTTTGGAGAGACGGTGGCCATTTTCCTGATTAGAAACTTGATTCAAATGCTCATAACCATCCAAAACAATGTACAAGCAACTTGTAATTAAACAGGGTGATTTTATTACTTGAATATTACACTATGAGTGGCCTTTTTCTTTTATTCCTTATCTAAATATTGGATGGGAGTCTTCTTTTAGGACCGTTTTCATATCTTTGAAAGGAGGATTGATATCTATCTGGATGGGGATTGCTGGTTCCATGATCTACACATATTCATCTCCCATTTGAGTTGCTTATATTGGTCAGAATTCCTGGTAAGAGGCTAACCATTTGGGTGTCCTGGTGATGATAGATCGTGGGAATACATTTGGGACTGTTTTTACTGGAACCTTTTTCTGATTTACTGGACTTTGTTTTTTTGATTAGCGCTGCAATTTTTATTAATTTACTATTATGTCCATTTAACTTGTTATGCATGTAAACGTTTCCACAAATGCACAGAATATGGTCAACATCAGATCACAGATGCAAAAATTTCTACTTTTAGTTTTACACAGCCTGTGCATATGGCAGTGTGATTGACTTGTTATGCATGTAAACGTTTGCACATATGTTTACATGGACACTGCCCAAAATCAGACCACTTTCTACTTTAGTTTTGCAATGCTTAACACTACAGAGAGATACTGACCAAAATGCAGCTGTGTAAATGCACCCATAGAATACAATACTGCTGCGTTCAGATCTGTAAAAGACTGTCCCCAATATGGATCTGAACGCAGTGTATTAAACACCCATGTGAAGTACCGGGACAGGTTCCTCCAGCACCCAGGAAAAGCATGCAAACCTGCGCCCCTCTCCTAATGCATGCCATCTTGCCTTCAGCTAATAACTGAATCTTCTATTCCTCCTATCAGTTCATCCCCCACAGTTATTACCTTTGTACCACCAGCCTCTCTCTCTTAGATTGTAAGCTCCCAGGATCAGGGCCCTCCTAACACTCTTGTATTGAACTGTATTGTTCCTGTATTGTCTCCCTTTTATTGTAAAGCGCTGAGCAAACTGTTGGTGCTATATAAATCCTGTATAATAATAATAATGCCATAGACTGGGTTACCACCTTGTGCCCATTCTTTGCCCCCTTGCTCCAACTGTCCATGGTTGGCATTAAGTGTGCACTGCCACTGCATGGCATATTTCTCATTTTCTTGTGATTAGTAGGTAGTTGCATATCCATGGTGTATTTTTGTGTCAGCTGTGGGTGGATGGGGTGGAGAGCGGGTATGTTGGACCATGACATGACAGGAGAAGCTGTCAGAGCAGATGTGAAACTGTGGCCCCTGGTTGCTAACCACTGATTTGGAGCTTTCATGTGATGATGGGATGCCCTCCCCTACCGTAGTTCCCTGGGCAGCTTCCCCTCCTACCCGCACCTTGTAGCGGCCCTACTTGTGTGCATGAGTCCTTCTGTTTTTAAAGGCAAATTTGTCTTTATTATTTTAACACAAATTTAACAGAACAAAGCATGAGAAATAAAAAGAACATGTACAAGTAAGAAAAACATCACAGGTGTGGCTATGATCCATGTGGATGGAAGAAAATTATGCTATACAACAGCAAGAAGGAAGGATCAATAACCCATATTACGGAGATGTAACAAGACATAGTTTCAGGGGGGTATCCCCGGGCAAGATGTATGGAACAAGATGAGAGAACTCCGTACAACCAAGAGTGTAAATCCAAACTGAGAAAGGGAAGGGAAAGGAAAAAAAGGAAGCCAGTGGTAAGGAAAGCGAAGGAGGAGAAGAGAGAGAAGAGAGGGGGTTGGGAGATGGAAATGGCAGAAAGCAGAACCAAGGTGGCTCCCCACCTGTATCCCACCGGAGCGACCGTGCCGCCCACAACCTGGCGACCTTCAGTTTTTAACCGCCTCCCGCCCCCCCATATAAGGTAATGACGGGTGCAAGGTGGTTCTCTCATTCTGGGAGGACGTCATATGAAGTCCTCCCACTCTAACCATGCGTGCGTGGCTCCGGGACACAGTGGATCAATGGAAAGAGCCGAAGATGTCGGCTCGGTCATGTGATCAGCTGTGTCCAATCACAGCTGATCACATGTAAATAGGGAAATGCCGATTATCAGCATTTCTCTCCTCACGAGCTGTCACGCTGACAGAGGAGAGGAGAGCCGGTAATCGGCATTCCACAGAGAGGACATGTACACTGATCATCAGGGCACTGATGATCAGTGTGCCCTGATGATCAGTGTAGCCCCAGCAGTGCCAGCTGTCAGTGTCCATCAATGCCAGCTGTCAGTGCTCATCAATGCCACCTGCCAGTGCCCATTAGTGCCTCATCAATGCCACATATCAGTGCCTACCAGTGCACATAAATGCCACATATCAGTGCCCATCTGAGCTTCCTTTCAGTGTCACCTATCAGTCAGTCAGTGCCACCTATCAGTGCTGCCAATCAGTGCCATCTATCAGTGCCAGTGCTGACTATCAGTGCTGCCTATCAGTGTCCATCAGTGCTGCCTATCAGTGCCACTTAACAGTGCCAGTCAGTGCCACCTAACAGTGCCAGTCAGTGCCGCATATCAGTTCCATATATATATGAGTGCTGCCTTTCAATGCCCATCAGTGATGCCTGTCAATGCCCATCAGTGCCACCTACCAGTGCCTCCTCATCAGTGCCACCTATCAATGCAGCCTCATTAGCGCACATTAGTGAAGGAGAAAAATCACTTATTCACAAAATGTTATAACAAAAAGTAAGAAAAAAAAGGTTTTTTTTTCAAAATTTTCATTTTTTTTTGGTTTGTTTAGCAAAAAAAAAAAACCCAGAGGTGTTTAGATACCACCAAAAGAAAGCTCTATCTGTCTCAAAAAATGATAAAAATGTCATATGGGTACAGTGTTGCATGACCGCGCAATTGTCATTCAAAGTGTGACAGCACTGAAAGCTGGCCTGGGCATGGGCAGGAAGCTGGTATAAGTGCCCTGTAGGCAAGTGGTTAAAAGTGCTTTTGATGCCTTGTCACAAAGGGTTAAACATTCCTGCCAGTTGGCACTATAACAGGGTGTATAGTCGGACAAATGATCAGACAAAGTCTTGCAGTTTAATAAACAGGTAAAACAGGGTCAGAATGGCAAAGAGCATTCATACATACACTGCAGAATAACATGAAACCAACCATGAAAGCTGTAGAAAGTAGCCATACCACACAATGCAGTTCATCTTAATAGTTTGTTTTTACGTGATCACACTTCCATTTACTATTTAGTAGCTCCCGTCCACTTCAATTGGTTGCATAGCCCTCAGTCAGTAGTGGATTTTTCTGTATTGCAGTAGTGAGTCCCTGTAAAATTTGGAGAACTGTAATCAGATAACAAGCTCTGTCTCACAAAGCACAATAGCACTCATTAGCTATTTTAAGGGGAACTTGTTATTTTCCTTTCTCCAACCCAAACATCTGGCATTTGAAGTAAAAATTGAGATGTTAGAAAAGTGCCACTTAATTGACTTTTATTATAATCTCAGCAGAAAATTACAAATGACTTCATTAGCATTGCTTAGATTTACATGAGCATTACTAAGTGCCGTTAATACCAGTCTGGATTTCTCTTCCTGCTGTGCCTAGACCTCCACCATGGAGACACTAAGCGGGAGCAGCTATTACGACTTGCCTGTCCCAGATTCCCCACCGGGAGTGAAATAAGGGCACCGGTCACTAGGCTGTGCGGTAATGTTATGTTTGCTGTACTTAGGATTGATCGGTATGGTCATTTCCTTCAATGAAATCCAAAGAATGCTAAATTCTACTGAATATAGTCATATATTGTATTCTACTGTTACCAAGAAATGTACACATGTGTATTCCTTCTCATTTTAATCGTCCATCTGCAGCCAAAACATTTGATTTAGGTTTGGATAGAGCAGCCTTTCTCAACCAGGGTGCCCAGGCACCCTTGGGTGCCTTGAGGTTTCTTCAGGGGTGCCTTGGCAAAATGTCGAAAAATTGCCCAAAACTTGTATCCAATGCAGCAGGTTACACAAAGCCACAGGTTTTCATTGTGCACCATTATGACCTTCTAGCTGCCAGAGTCCTGACAACCAATGACATCATCAGTTAAGGAGGATGTTAGTTGCCTGCACAGCATCCTAGTTTGACCCTCTCCTGCCCTTCTCCATCAGTGCTGGAGTCACATTAGCTCAGTGATGGAGAAAAACTGAGGGAGAAGAGAAACATTGGAATACTAGTCAGTACCAGTGTGCAAAAGTGTATTTGCTCTGGAAGAATAAATCACCTCTAATGTTGGGTGTCCTACATGTGTGGATGTTGCTGCGTTATATACAGCTATTAGAATAGTTTTTCACATTTTAGAATGGGGTGTCTCGGGACTGTTCATAATTTTAAAGGGTGCTTTGACTAAAAGACGGTTGAGAAACACTGGGGTAGAGTAGTATGGAGAGGTTAGAACCCCTGACCAGTCATAATTGCTGTCTGTCTGAAGAGCATTCTCCCCATGTGGTGGTCTACCACCTGTCAGCTGGATGGGAAATAAGTGCAAATCTATGCACCAGGGACGCATAGAGCAATCAAGGCCTGACAGATGTTCTAACCTTTCTCCACTCTATCCAGCTGTAAGAAAAAGTTTTGGCTTCAACCACTTCAATACCGGGCACTTATACCCCCTTCCTGCCCAGGACAATTTTCAGCTTTCAGCACTGTTGCACCTTGAATGACAATTGCGTGGTCATGCAACATTGTACCCATATGACATTTTTATAATTTTTTCACACAAATAGAGCTTTCTTTTGGTGGTATTAAATCACCACTGAGTTTTTTATTTTTTGCTAAATATAACAAAAAAACACCTGAAACATTTGTAAAAAAATGCACTTTTCTTCATTTCTGTTATAAAATTTTGCAAATAAATAACATTTCTTCATATATTTAGGTCAAAATGTATACTGCTACATTTCTTTGGTGAAAATAATAATAATAATTGTATTTGTATTTTTTTTTCAAATGTTTCTATATATTTTTTTTAATTTTTATTACATTTTTTCTTTTTATTGCTATTTTATTTTTTTTAGCACACTGTGACCAAAGCAATATAATGTTACCATAGTAACATTGAACTACTCTGAGCAAGTGATCGGGATTTTGTTTTTTGTAACACATTATGATTGCTGATACCAATGTTTTTCATTGATATTTGCAATCATTGTTACTGAATGAAACTGATTCAGTCAGCCTTTTGTTGTGATTAGCTGTGATTGGGCAAAGCTCATCACATGATACAGATGGGCTGTGATTGGCCCTGTCTGTATCATGTGACTGCCTTGACCAGTCACAGCTAACAACATAATTGTACACAATGGATGGCATGAATGGAAGCCATCCATTGTATACAATTGACATGATTGGTCACAGCAGTCACATGACACTGGCAATGGGCCGGTGTAGTGATATGTCATCGGCTGTGTCCCGTGGACACAGCCGGTGACAGATCGCGCCACTGTGCATCCCTGCTGCTCCGTGAGCTGCTCATTTTGACAGGACGTCATGTGACGCCCAATCACAACGGTGAGTGTTCCACCCGGCTGTCAATCTGCTATAGGCCGGGCGGGAACCTGTTAAGGCCCCATGCACATGGCATTTTTGCAGCCACTTTTAGGGTGTTTTTTTTTATTGTTTGTTACTGCTTTCAAACAGCCCCTTATGTTATCCTCTATCCATAACACTGCCTCAAACTACATCACCGACCTGATATCCATCTACCACCCAAAACGCACTCTCCGCTCCTCACAAGACCTCCTACTCTCCAGTTCCCTGGTCTCCTCCTCCCATGCCCATCTCCAGGACTTCTCCAGGGCCTCCCCCATCCTCTGGAACTCACTACCCCAATCCGTCAGACTGTCACCTTCCCTCCTCACCTTTAGGCGCACCCTGAAAACACATCTCTTCAGAGAAGTCTACCCAGCCCTCACCTAATTGCTGATCTCCTCCGCTCTCCCCACCACTCCATCCCCCACAGCTATTTCCTCCTGTACCACTATCCCCTCCCTCCTAGATTATAAGCTCCAAGGAGCAGGGCCCTCGAACCCCTCATGTATTGTATTGTATTGTTACTGTACTGTCTCATGTATTGTCTCCCATTATAATGTACAGCGCTGAGCAAACATTTGGCGCTATATAAATACTGTATAATAATAATAAATAATAATAATCCTCTGTGTCCTTGCACACATAGACGTTTAGAAGCGTTTAGTAGCGGTAGCATTTAGCAGCAGGAAAAAAAAAAAAAACAGGGCCAGTGAGTCCAGGAGCAGCAGTGTTTTCGTAGAAAAAAACATTGGCACATATAAAGGCATCCAAACGCGCCTAAACGTGTAACACTAGCCACATTTAACACTTGAGTGTTAATTCATTTCAATGACGGAATTAATGATTATTTTGGCTAATGAAATGAATTAATGCCCAAGCTCTTGACGCTTGTAAACGTGCCTAAACACTTATCAAAGTATCTAACACTGTTACAAGTGTCAGGAGTTTTTTTTTTTCTACCAAAACGCTGCTGCCAGGAGGAGGAGCGATTTTAAAATGTCTCGTGTGCATGAGGCCTAAAAGGAACCTATAGTTTGACTCACAGGGCGAAGAAACAGGGTGACATTGATGCTGTGGAAGTCAAGAGAAGAATTCCTGTGTAAGCTCCAGATCTCTCTGCCCCCCTCCATGATACTGGATCTGTGCCCGGCAATTGACCACTCAGGCACTCAGCAATGCATCATGGTAAGGAGAGAAACTTCTTTACTGGGGTGACAACTTTGTTCTGTAGTGAAATAGCACAGCGGTGTTGTCACCCTGTAGACACTAATTCACATAGCCATGTAGTTTTAGATGGTCTTTAACCACTTCAATACTAGACACTTTCACACCCTTCCTGCCAAAGCCAATTTTCAGCTTTCAGCGCAGTCACATTTTGAATGACAATTACTCAGTCATGCAACACTACTCAAATGAATTTTTAATCATTTTTTGAGACAGAGATTTATTTTGGTGGCATTTAATCACTGCTGGGTGTTTTATTGTTTTGCTAAATAAACAACAAATGTTCTGTTATAAAAATTTTGCAAAAATACTTTTATTCATATATTTAGGCTAAAATGTATTCTGCTACATAAAAACAAAAACAGAGTAGAATAGTTAGTCTATGTGAAAGGTATAGTGTCTACAAACTCTGGTAGATATATATATATACAGTGGGGCAAAAAAGTATTTAGTCAGCCACCAATTGTGACGAGCTGACATGGGAGAGAACTGTTTTGTTTACAAACAGTGCTCCCCCCTGTCAAAGATGCTCAGCAATCACTGGGCGCCAACGAGTAATCACTGGCCAGGAATCGATGATTGACAGCTGAGGCCGCGAATGGTGGCGTGGGTAGGGCGAGCACGCCCCCAACCTGGAAATTCAAAATCATGTATATACAGTGGGGCAAAAAAGTATTTATTCAGCCACCAATTGTGCAAGTTCTCCCACTTAAAAAGATGAGAGAGGCCTGTAATTGGCATCATAGGTAGACCTCAACTATG